GGCTGGAGGTGAGGCACCCACCTCAGATATGCAAGAGCAGGTGAATTGTCCATCTAGCTATGAAGGCCCAACTGCATAACCAAGGGGTGAGTGGACAACAGGAACTAATTACAGGCAATTAGGAGAGATGAAGGACGCACCTGGGGCTCTGCTGCCCATCTGATGCTGAAGGAGGAGGTCCTCCCCTCACACAAACAAGGCAATTACAAACACTGGGAGACGTCAGGATGTCGAAAGCCGGCTCTGATACACCCATAGATGCAAGGCCTTTAGGTCTGAGTGATCCCAGCACGTGATAAGAGCAGCCACCCCTCTGAGAACACCTGATGCTCCAGGAGGGAAGCAGGGGATGGGCTGCAGCCCACCTCAGGGAGGGGAAAAGGGCCTGAAGCACCCACATGGAGCTCATAGCACAAGGCAGAGCCATGGTGGGGATGCTGCTGCTGTTGTCAGTGCGCTGCAGTACCCAGGGCCACCACCCAGGAGGGACCCGGATGCAGATCCCGGTGGAACCGGTCCCTGCCAGGAGCCCTGGGAGGAAATGTGCAACCCCAGCACATTGCACAACACCACCGGTAACCCCGGCTGGGGAGCACCCCAAGGCATCGCCGCTGCGGGGGGCACCTCAAGCCACCCCTGCCTCCATGTGGCAAAGCTTGGTGGCCCCCAGGGTCACAGCATCACAGTATCCCAGTATGTTAGAGATTGGAAGGGACCCCATAAGCTCATCCAGTCCAATCCCCCTATGGAGCAGGAACACCCAGATAAGGTTACACAGGAACGTGTCCAGGTGGGTTTTGATGTCTCCAGAGAAGGAGACTCCACAACCTCCCTGGGCAGCCTGGTCCAGTGTTCTGTCACCCTCACTGAGAAGAAGTTTAAGTGGAACCTCTTGTGTTCCAGTTTGTACCCATTGCCCCTTGTCCTATCATTGTTTGCCACTGAGAAGAGCCTGGCTCCATCCTCGGCACACTCCCCCTTTATATATTTATATGCACTAATAAGGTCACCCCTCAGTCTCCTCTGAACTATAGAGACCCAGCTCCCTCAGTCTGTCCTCATCAGGTCCCCAACTTGCATTGGCCAACGGGGGCTTGGCCTGCTTTAATGCCCCAGGGATGGTGTTAACAGCACAGAGCCTGCCCAGCAGCGTGGTCCCCATGTCCAGCTCAAGCCCAGCAAGGGGGATGCAGGACCCCAATGGGGATGCGCAGAGAGCCCCAGACACAAGAACAGAGGAAGGGTCCCAAAGGCTCCCCTTGCCCTCACCTTGCCCACGTCCAGGGCCGTGGCCTCCAGGATCTCCTGCTTCTTCTCCTCCAGGAAGCGGCCCAGGGCCTCCAGCTGCGCCACCCGGTACTCCATGGGCCGCGTCTTCCCCGAGAGCCAGGCTGCCCGCAGCAGGGCCACCAGCCCCGCATAGGGGTTCCCGCTGCACGGACGGGGGTGTCACAGGGACCCCGCGCCCAGCACGGCCCCACAGAGCCCAGGGATGGGGCACGGAGTCCCCCCTGTGCCCCCTCCATGGCACTGATCCCGGGGTTCCCTTGGCCCCCAGCACCCCGGGGTGAGGGCACAGCACCCAGACCCCTCCTGCTCCCATTCACCCCAGCCTCACGCTCTCCCATCACCGTTCATGCTCCCCTTCATCACCACCATCATCCTCCTCAGGAGCATCCCCACCCCTGGACCCCAAACCTGCCCCCCAGCACCCAGGTCTGCATCACCCCCCACCAGCACCAAACAGCACCCTGGGGTGCAGGCAGAGCACCAAGCACCCTGTCAGCCGCCCCTCCATCCCAGCCCCATTCTCTTACCCCATGCCATCACCATCCATGCTCCCCTTCCCATCACCACCATCATCCTCCTCAGGAGCATCCCCACCCCTGGGAGCTGCTGGGATGCGGTGGCCCCTGGACCCCAAACCTGTCCCCCCCCCCCCATCAGCACCAATACGGGGGCCCCATCACCCTCTGTCTCCCTTCTGCCCCCCAGCCCCTCACTCACCATCCAGCACCGCACATCACCGGTCCCTTCCCGGTGCTGCTCCCACTGCATCCGGCGCCATTCCCGGGATCACTGCCCACAGGGATGCACGTCCCACAGCCCGGTGGCTCAGGGGCTTGCTGCATGCCAAGGGCTTGGAAGGAGCTGCTGGTCCGCACTGGGAGCGGGGTGGCCCTGGGGACAGACACAGGGATGGAAGCACTGGGATAGGGCTGGAATGCGGCTGCATCCCAGGAGTCACCCATAGCACCCCTGGAGGGTGCTGCTTGGGGCTGTCCCGGGCTGACTCATCCCAGAGCAGCTCCTGGCATTCCTGGCATCATCACCATCATCTGCTCCTATGGGATCACCCCATAGGGACCTCAAGGACCCACAGTGACCCATAGGGACCCCCAAGTGTGGGCCAGCACTGGGACTTCCATAACCCACTTGGGTCCACCAGCACACCAGGAGCTGTGGGGCAGAGCTGCACCCCAATGCACCCACCTTCCCTCAAGGGAACCCACCCAGAGGGGTGCCCCACAACCTCCGTGGGACCCCAAAGTGCTCACCTGTGGGGCTGAGCGGTGGCCACAGGAGCTGGAGGTGCTGCTGATGCTCAGGGGGTTGCTCCTAAATGCTGTGGGGCTGGTGGCCAGGCCCCATGGCCAGCGATGGGCAGGGCTGGGCCCCGCCTCTATGGGGCCGGCAATGGGGCCAAGGCCTGGGCTGGGACCTCCCCTCCATGGACAGGGGTCCCAGGGGGGGCTCCTGTGGTCCCCAGCACCACCATGAACCATGGGGAGCCCATAAACACCCATGGAGCTGGTACCCAGGGCCACCCTGACCCATGGGGACCCCACATCCCCAGCACCATGGGGCTCACCCAGAGCACCCCAATGGCAACACCTGAACTGGCCCCATAGAGGGGGATGCAGTCGGCCCCAAGCAGCCGCTGTCCCCATGGAGGATGCCTCAGGTCACCGGAGACCTAAAGGGACAGCAGGGATCAGAGACTGGAATGGGATGGGATCAAGGGGGGGTCTCCCATTACACTGCCCCCCCAGCACCCTGACCCCTGCACAGCACCCACTGCCCCCCCCAGCACCCTGACCCCTGCAACTCAGCACCCATTGACTCCCCCAGCACCCTGACCCCTCCCCAGCACCCATTGAACACCCCCCAGCACCCTGACCCCTGCACAGCACCCACTGCCCCCCCCAGCACCCTGACCCCTGCAACTCAGCACCCACTGACTCCCCCAGCACCCTGACCCCTCCCCAGCACCCTAAACCCTGCACAGCAGCCATTGATCCCCCCAGCACCTATTGACCCCCCAGCACCCATTGAGCCCCCAGCACCCATTGACCCCCCCAGCACCCATTGACCCCCCAGCACCCATTGACCCCCCCAGCACCCATTGAGCCCCCAGCACCGATTGACCCCCCCCAGCACCCATTGACCCCCCCAGCACCCATTGAGCCCCCAGCACCCAGAGCCCCCCAGCACCCATTGCGCCCCCAGCACCCATTGACCCCCCAGCAACACCCACTGACCCCCCCAGCACCCATTGACCCCCCCAGCACCCATTGCCCCCCCCAGCACCCATTGAGCCCCCAGCACCGATTGACCCCCCCCAGCACCCATTGACCCCCCAGCACCCATTGAACCCCCCCAGCACCCATTGACCCCCCCAGCACCAGTGGCTCCCTCTCCTCACCCCAGGCATCCCCCGGTACCGGCTGGGCCGGATCCTGCCCCTGCCCCGTGACCGTCCCGGGCGTCACCCTCGGGCGCTCCCTGCCCCCGGGCACCCCCGCACCCATGGGTGCTCCCAGCACCGGCTCTGGGCGCCGCAGGGACCCGCACGTGCGCGGGCACCCCCAAACCGGCCCCGCACCCACAAACGGCCCAGGGCTGGGAAAGGGGAAGTGAGAGGGGAGGGAGGCGGCGGCAGCCGGGGCTGGAGCACCCACACTGGGGCCTGGTGGGGATGGGGATCCAGTGGGTGCTGGGGGGGGGTCAGGGTGCTGGGGGGGTTCAATGGGTGCTGTGCAGGGGTCAGGGTGCTGGGGATCAATGGGTGCTGTGCAGGGGTCAGGGTGCTGGGGGGGTCAGGGTGCTGGGGGGGTCAGGGTGCTGGGGGAGAAGGGGGTTCAATGGGTGCTGTGCAGGGGTCAGGGTGCTGGGGGTTCAATGGGTGCTGTGCAGGGGTCAGGGTGCTGGGGGGTCAATGGGTGCTGTGCAGGGGTCAGGGTGCTGGGGGCTGAATAGGTGCTGTGCAGGGGTCAGGGTGCTGGGGGGTCAATGGGTGCTGTGCAGGGGTCAGGGTGCTGGGGGGGGCAGTGGGTGGTGTGCAGGGGTCAGGGTGCTGGGGGGTCAATGGGTGCTGTGCAGGGATCAGGGTGCTGGGGGCTCAATGGGTGCTGTGCAGGGGTCAGGGTGCTGGGGGGGGCAGTGGGTGCTGTGCAGGGGTCAGGGTGCTGGGGGTCAATGGGTGCTGGAGGTTCAGGATCGGCCCCTTTAAGCGTCCCCGTCCCGCCCGCCCCATTCGAAAGAGGAAGCAGCGCCCGCCCCGCCCCGGGCTCCGGTAGGGAACACTGGGGTGCGGGGCTGGGGGTGCTGGGTGCGGGGGGGAAGGGCTGGGGGTGCAAGAGACGGGTGCAGGGTCTGGAGTGCAGGGGGCAAAGTGCATGGGTGCGGGTCTGGGGGTGCTGGGTGCAGGTCTGGGGGTGCTGGGTGCAGGGCTGCAAAGTGCATGGGTGCAGGGGTGCAAAGCACATGGGTGCAGGTCTGGGGGTGCTGGGTGCAGGGCTGCAAAGTGCATGGGTGCAGGGGTGCAAAGCGCATGGGTGCAGGTGTGGGGGTGCTGGGGTGCAAAGCACATGGGTGCAGGTCTGGGGGTGCTGGGTACAGGGGTGCAAAGCGCCTGGGTGCAGGTCTGGGGGTGCTGGGTTCATCTCTGGGGGCACACAAGCCACGGGTGCAGCACTCGGGGGTTGCCAGCACCACCCTGCCCCACGCAGGCCCCCCCGGAGGCAGGATGCAGAAGGACCCCAGCGGGTACCAGGATGCAGCCACAGCAGCGGCCGGTGACAGGCTGGGTGCTGAGGGGCCAGAGACGCAGGTGAGGTCCCTATGGGTGCCCCCCATAGGGTCCCAATGGTGCCCCCCCCACCCCAGGGGCTGACAGGCACTGTCCCCATCACCCCCCCCATTAGCTGGATGACTTTGTGGGTGCTCACCCCGACTACAACGAGGAGGAGGAGGAGCACAAGTTCTTCCGCCGCAAGCGCCTGGGGGTCATCAAGAACGTGTTGGCCACCAGCCTGGCCGGGACCCTCACCTATGGGGTGTACCTGGGTATGGTCCTGCTGCTCCTCAGGGGCCCCCAGTGGGGTCAGGGTGTGTGTGTGGGGGGGGTGACAGGCTCTGGACCCCCCCCTCCCCATCAGGCCTGCTGCAGATGCAGCTGATCCTGCACTACGATGAGACGTACCGGGAGGTGAAGTACAGCAACATCCAACTGGAGGACATCGACCGCAAGGTGTTGATGGGCATCAACGTCACCCCCATTGCAGCGCTGCTCTATACCCCCGTCCTCATCAGGTACAGCGCTCTCCATGCTGCCCCACAGCATTCCCAATGGGAATCCCTGCTTCCCTCTCCCAATGCCCGGCAGGTTCTTCGGCATCAAGTGGGCCATGTTCCTCGCGGTGGGGATCTACGCCTTCTTCGTCTCCAGCAACTACTGGGAGCGCTACTACACGTTGGTGCCCTCCGCCGTGGCCATCGGGGTGGCCATCGTGCCCCTCTGGGCTTCCATGGGCAACTACATCACCAGGTAGGCAGGGGTGGGGTGGGTGAGAGGTCCTGGGTGACACCAATGGACCCATTGTGCCATGCAGGATGGCCCAGAAGTACCACGAGCACGTCAACTACAAGGAGGAGCAGCGGGCACCACGAGGGGCCAGTGATGCCTACATCATCGTCTTCCACACCATCTTCTATGCCTTCTTCCACGTGAGTGCTGGCACAGGGAATGGGATGTGGTGGGCAGCGTGGTGCTGAGCACCTCCTGCTCCCCATGCTGCAGTTGAGCTTCGTCTGCGCCCAGATGCCCATGCTCTTCTTCCTCAACAACTACCTCTACCAGCTCAACCACACGCTCTTTGGGGTCAAGCACTGCGGTGAGTACGGGGTGGTGCAGTGGGGTGCCACGGGGACCCCTCTGGGTGGGCAGGACCCATGGTGTGTGCCCCCCAACAGGGACCCTGAGCCACGGCACCCTGCCTGGCTTCAACACCACAGTGCTGCAGAGCCTGCCCCGCAGCGTCAACCTCATCGTGGTGGACAGCGTGCTGATGGCGGCCGCCTTCCTCGCCATGCTGGTGGTGAGTGAGCTGGGGGGCAGAGGGACAGGGCTCCAGCAGGACCAGCATCATCCCTATGGAATCAATCAGCTTGGAAAGAGCTTGAAGATCATCCAGCCCAACCATTGCCAGCACTGCCAAGGCTCACGGCCCCAGGAGCCACATCCACACCTCTTCTAAATCCCTCCAGTGCCGGTGCCTGCAGCCGTGCCCTGGGCAGCCTGTTCCAATGCCTGAGCACCCTCTGGGGCAGGAATTGTTCCTCAGCTCCATCTAACCCTGCCCTGGTGCAGCTTGAGGCCGGTTCCTCTTGTCCCATCCCTTGTTCCTTGGGAGCAGAGCCCAGCCCCTCCTGGCTCCATCCTCCTGTCAGGCAGTTGGAGGCAGCCATCAGGTCCCCCCTGAGCCTTCTCTTCTCCATCTGAACCCCCCAGCTCCCTCAGCCCTTCCCCATCACCCTTGGGCTCCAGGCCCTGCACCAGCTCCATTGCCCTGCTCTGGCCCCGCTCCAGCCCCTCAAGGTCTCTCTTGCAGTGAGGGGCCCAGAGCTGAGCCCAGGATCCGAGGTGCAGCCTCCCCAGTGCCCAGCACAGGGGCCCAGTCCCTGCCCTGCTCCTGCTGCCGCACTGGTGCTGGTGCAGGCCAGGACGCTGGGGGCTCCTTGGGCTCAAGCTGCTCCTGCTCAGCTCCAGCAGCTCCTTTGCCACCAGCAGTTTCCAGCCGCTCTCCCCAAGCCTGGAGCGCTCCATGGGGCTGTTGTGGCCCCAGCGCAGGACCCAGCCCTGAGCCTGGTTGAATCTCACGCCATTGACCACAGCCCAGGGATCCAGCCCGGCCAGATCCTCCTTGCAGAGCCTCCCTATCCTCCAGCAGATCCACTCCCACCCTTGGTGTCATCCGAAGTGACTCAGGGGGCCCTCCAGCCCCTCATCAATGAACACACCAAACAGCACTGGCCCCAGCCCCAAGCCCTGAGGGCCACCACCAGTGACCAGTCACCATCTCGATGTGACACCATTCACCAGCACTCTCTGGGCTCTGCCATCCAGCCAGTCTTTTACCCAGCAAAGAATCCACCCACCCGGGCCATGAGCAGCCACTGTCTCCAGGGGAACACTGTGGGACACCATATCGATGCTTTACCAAGGTCCAAAGGGACGATGCCCACAGCCTTTCCCTCATTCACCAGGCAGGTCAATTGTTGTAGGAGGAGATGAGGTTGGGCAAGCAGGACCTGCCCTTCTGGTGCTGATTGTACCGATCCTCCTGTTGTCCTGCACGTGCTTTGTGATCCACAGCAGAAGGGCTGCGACCGGATGATCCTAAGGTCCTTTGCAAGGCAAACCCTCTCCCTTGGGATGATGTGCTCCATGACCATGTGCTCCCCACACGCAGGTCCTGGTGCTCTGTGGGGCAGCCTATCGACCCACGGAGGAGATCGACCTGCGCAGCATCGGCTGGGGGAACATCTTCCAGCTGCCCTTCAAGCACATGAGGGACTATCGCCTGCGCCACCTCTTCCCCATCTTCATCTACAGCGGCTTTGAGGTGCTCTTTGTCTGCACCGGCTTCTCCCTGGTAGGGACGGATGGGGACAGAGGGGAGGTGACAAAGCAGGGACAACCCAAGTGACGTTGAGCCCGTTCTCCCTGCAGAACTACGGTGTGTGTGCGCTGGGGCTGGAGAAGCTGGCCTACCTCCTCATGGCCTATGGGCTGTCTGCCTCGGCCTGCTCCAGCCTGGCACTGTGCATGCTGCGCCTGCAGCGGCACATCCCGCTGCTGGCTGGAGCCTTCATCCACGCTGCCCTCCTGGTGACGCTGTTCTGCTGGGCACCAGAGCCCCGGCTCGTGGGCCAGGCTCCTCTGCTCTACACCATCGCCGCGCTCTGGGGCACAGGGAGCGCCCTCAACAAGACCAGCATCAGCAGTGAGTAGCAGGGAGCTCCCCAGCACGGCTTCTCTTGTCCCCCAGCTTCCTCCTGCAGCATCTCCTCATGCCACAACCTGCTCCTTGGACACGCTGACCCACGGTGTCCCCACAGGGGGACACTGACAGCAGCTCTCCTCCCTTCACAGTCCTCCTGGGCATGTTGTACAAGAACAAGGAGCGCCAAGACTTCATCTTCACCATCTACCACTGGTGGCAAGCCCTGGCTATCTTCACCGTCTACCTGTGGTCAGAGCTACCCATGAAGGTGACCGTGGTGGGGTGGGCAGAACCTCAACATAAAAAGGACATGGAACTGTTGGAACAAGTGCAGAGGAGGCCACGAGGATGCTCAGGGCCTGGAGCAGCTCCTGTATGGAGATAGGCTGAGAAAGTCAGGGCTGCTCAGCCTGGAGAAGAGAAGGCTGCGTGGAGACCTCAGAGCAGCTTCCAGTGTCTGAAGGGGGCCTATGGGGATGCTGGGGATGGACTCTTCATTAGGGACTGCAGTGACAGGGCAAGGGGTAATGGGTTAAAACTGAAACAGGGGAAGTTTAGATTGGATCTAAGGAAGAAATTCTTTCGTGTGAGGGTGCTGAGGCACTGGAATGGGTGCCCAGGGAGGTTATGAATGCTCCATCCCTGGCAGTGTTCAAGGCCAGGTTGGACAGAGCCTTGGGTAATATGGTTTAGTGTGAGGTGTCCCTGCCCATGGCAGGGGGTTGGAACTGGATGATCTTAAGGTCCTTTCCAACCCAAACCATTCCATAACGTGGCCGTTGCAGGGGGCTGCAGCCCCCCCTCAGCTCAGCCCCTCTTTGCCCCACTGCAGGCCAAGCTCTCCATCCTGCTGGCGACGCTGGTGGTGGCGGTGGGCGCGTACCTGCGGATGGAGCAGCAGCTGGGGCAGCGCGTGGAGTACCGCCTGCCCCGCATCCCGCGCCCGCGCCACCGCATGCGCGGCTACCGCTACCTGGAGGAGGACGGCTCGGACCAGACGGGCTCCGAGGGCGATGGGGAGGAGCAGGAGGAGCGCCCAGCACAGGCCAGCAGCACTGAGGAGCTGCCCCGAGGGGAGGAGGAGCAGCGGGGTTAGAGCTGCTGCAGCACTGGGGGGGCCCCCACCTTGTTCTCTATAGCAGAAAGGGGAAGTGGGGGGGCCTCAACCCACTCTGGAGCTGCACAAAGACTCCGGGACAGGCTCAAGCTTTCGGAGGTCCCTCTGCAGCAACCCCAGGCAGGCCTAAAGACCCCATTGCAAAGCAGTGCAGCCCCTAGAAAGACCCAAAACCCCTCAGGCCAGGCCTGCAGCCCCATAGCCAGCCCCACAGCCGCCCCCAGGCAGGCCTGCAGACCCCCTAACCAAGCCTAAAGCCCCTCAGGCTGGACCCACAGCCCCAAAGCCCCCCCAGAGGAGGCCTGCAGATCCCCTAGCCAAGCCTAAAGCCCCTCAGGCCAGCCCCACAGCCCCTCATGCCAAGCCTGAAGCCCCATAGCCAGCCCCACAGCCTCCCAAGGGAGGCCTACAGACCCACTAACCAAGCCTGAAGCCCCGCACGGTGGACCCACAGCCCCTCAGACCCAGCCTGCAGCCCCATAGCTCCCCCCAGGCAGGCCTGCAGAGCCCCTAACTAAGCCTACAGCCCCTCAGACCCAGCCTACAGCCCAATAGCCAACCCCAGAGCCCCCCCCAGGCGGGCCTGCAGACCACCTAACCAAGCCTAAAGCCCTTCAGGCCAGGCCTGCAGCCCCTCAGACCCAGCCTGCAGCCCCATAGCCCCCCCAAGGGAGGCCTGCAGAGCCCCTAACCAAGCCTAAAGCCCCTCAGACCCGGCCTGCAGCCCCATAGCCCCCCCCGCCAGGCCTGCAGAGCCCCTAACCAAGCCTAAACCCCCTCAGGCCGGACCCACAGGCGCTCAAACCAGGCCTCCAGACCCCCAGCCACAGACGGACCCATAGCCCCCCCCAAAAAACAGACCTACAGCTCCCTACCAGCCCCTTTTAACCCCCCTGTACCTCAATAAAGCTTCTTCCATCTTCGTTCTTCGCCTCGCCGCGGCTTCTCCTCCCTCCATGAGGGGCATCAACCACCAGCGCCACCCTGAGGCGGGGACTACAGCGCCCCGCGTGCACCGCGCCTTAGAGCGCGGTGCACGCCGGGAGCTGTAGTCCCCGCCCCAAGATGGCGCTGCACCGCTTCCCACCCTCGAACTACAACCCCCACAATCCCCCGCGCTGGCTGGGCGGGGAGAGCGTGCTGTCACGTGCTCCTCGGCCGCAGCGCCTGCGCGCTGCGGGCTGTTGTTGTGGCGGCGCGGCCCGGCCGGTAGCGATGAGCGACAACGATGACATCGAGGTGGAGAGCGACGTGAGTCGAGCCCCGCTGTCGCGACAGCGCGATAGGAAACCTCCCTCCCCACCCCTCCCCTTCCCCTTCTATCGCTTCCCTATGGGCAACGGGAAAGGGGGTAGCACCGGTAACGTTTGGTTTCTGTTCCCTCTTCCTCATCGCGGCGCCGTTTCCTGGTGCCTTCCTCCTCCTCTTCCTCCTCCTCGTCCCGTTCGTGCCCCCCCTCCCCCTCCCTCTCCTTCCCCTCCCCCACAACCGGGCCCCATCAGGAGGAGCAGCCGCGGTTCCAGTCCGCGGTAAGCGCCGGGACCCGAGCACGTGGGGGGGGAGGGGAGGAGGGGGGGGGCGGGGAACGGGTTTTTGGGGGTGTCAAATGGGGGATGGGGTCTTGAGGGGGAGGGGGAAGGTGTGGGGATGGGGGTGTCCGGAGGGGGGGGGGATCTGTGGGGATGGGGACTCCTAAGGGTGGGGGATCTGTGGGGATGGGGTCTTCTGGGGGGGATCTGTGGGGAGGGGGACTCCTAAGGGGGGGGGGATCGGTGGGGCTGTGGTGTCCTGGGGGGGGGGGTCTGTGGGGCTGGGGTCTTCTAAGGGAGGGGGGATCGGTGGGTCTGGGGTCTTCGGGGGGGTGAATCTGTGGGGCTGGGGTCTTCTGGGGGTGGGGGAATGTGTGGGGATGGGGTCTCCTAAGGGGGGAGGATTTGTGGGGCTGGGGTCTCCTGGGGGGGATCTGCATAAGGGTTCCTTTGGGGACGGGGTCCTTATGGGGATGCCCATGGGGCTGAGGGTCTTAGGGGGAGGGCTATGGGGCTGGGGTCTCCTGGGGGGGGGGAATCTGTGGGGCTGGGGTCTTCTGGGGGGTATCTGTATAAGGGTTCCTTTGGGGATGGGGTCCTTATGTGAATGCCCATGGGGCTGAGGGTCTTGGGGGGGGGGCCTGTGGGGCTGGGAGGGGGCATATGTGGGGTGGGGGTCTTCTGGAGGATGGGATCTGTGGGGCTGGGGTGTCCAGGGGAGGGAGGATCTGTGGGGCTGGGGTCTCCTAAGGGGGGGGATATGTGGGGATGGGGATGTCCTTTGGGGTTGGGGTCCTTATGGGAATGCCCATGGGGCTGGGGGTCTTGGGGGGGGACAACATGTGGGGCTGGGAGGGGACACATGTGGGGTGGGGGTCTTGCAGGAGGGAGATCTGTGGGGCTGGGGTCTTGTGGGGAGGGGGCACTCATGGGCTTGGGGGGCTTCTTAGGAGGGGACCTGTGGGGCTGGGGATAGGAGCCCCCTTCTGGGGCTGGGGATCCGGATGGAGATGGGGCTGGGGCTCTTGGTGTGGGGCACTGGGGTTTGGGGCTCAGGTTTCCTATGGGGCTGGGTGTGGGTGTGGGGTGTAACCCATGGGGGCTGTGCCTGTTGGTGAGGGTACCCTAGGGCTGGGGTCCCTGGGGGCAGCAGGAGCATCCAGAGGAGCAACTGAAAGCACCAGGAGCCGCATCCTTCCCTGTGGATGCTGAGGCCCCCCCGAGGCTCTTCCCATGCACCCACCCCCAAAGGGGCTGTCCCAGAGCAGGATTGGGGAGCAGGGCATGGATCCCCCCCCCCCGGCCCCATGGTGCCACCCCCATGGTCCCTTTGCCCCCCTCCATCCCAAGGCGGACAAACGCGCCCATCACAACGCGCTGGAGCGCAAGCGCAGGGACCACATCAAGGACAGCTTCCACAGCCTGCGGGACTCCGTGCCCTCCCTGCAGGGAGAGAAGGTGAGGTTGGGGAGCGTGCTGGGGGCCCCCGTTCCCGAGGGCTGGAATTGGAGTCCCTGTGGAATCCATAGGGCTGCGGCTGCAGGGGAGGCCTTGGAGCAGCTCCTAACGTGGAGAGGGGCTTGGGACAAGGGCCTGTAGGGCCAGGCCAAGGGGAATGGCTTGAACCTGCCCGAGGGGAGACTGAGCTGAGCTCTTAGGCAGAAGCTCTTCCCTGTGAGGGTGCTGAGGCGCTGGCACAGGGTGCCCAGAGAAGCTGTGGCTGCCCCATCCCTGGCAGTGCTCAAGGACACAGGGGCTTGGAGCAAGCTGCTCCAGTGGAAGGGGTTGGGGCTGGATGGGATTTCAGCTCCCTTCATCCCAACCCATTCCCTGATCCCATGGCTCAGTTCTCAGCCTAATCCAGCACCACCCGGAGGTCACAGCCCTCCCCACGCAGGTCCTAAGACAAGAGCTGGGCTCTGGTTCCATCGCCACGGGTGGGATGGGATGGACCAAATCCCATTGGATCCTCCCAGGCCTAGGTCTTTATCTCGCCTCTTTCTTTTCCCACTATTGCAACAGGCATCCCGGGCCCAAATCCTGGACAAAGCCACAGAGTACATCCAGTACATGCGCCGGAAAAACCACACGCACCAGCAGGACATCGACGACCTCAAGCGCCAGAACGCGCTCCTGGAGCAGCAGGGTGAGGGGGTGAAGGGAATCCCGTGGGATACAGGGGGGGATGAGGCACAGGGGGGAGGCAGGTGGGATGAGGCACAGGGGGGATGCAGGTGGGATGATGCACAAGTGGGATAAGGCACAGGTGGGATGCAGGCGGTGGGATCCAGGTGGGATAAGGCACAGGAGGGATCCAGGTGGGATCAGGCACAGGAGGGATCCAGGTGGGATCAGGCACAGGGGGGATGCAGGTGGGATAAGGCACAGGGGGGATGCAGGTGGTGGGATCCAGGTGGGATAAGGCCTAAGGGATCCAGGTGGTGGGATAAGGCACAGGGGATGCAGGTGGTGGGATTCAGGTGGGATAAGGCACAGGGGGGATCCAGGTGGGATGAGGCACAGGAGGGATGCAGGCAGTGGGATCCAAGTGGGATGAGGTGCAGGAGGGATAAGGCACAGGGGGGATGCAGGCGGTGGGATACAGGTGGGATGAGGTGCAGGGGGGTGAGGCACAGGAGGGATCCAGATGGGATGAGGCCTAAGGGATCCAGGTGGTGGGATTCAGGTGGGATAAGGCACAGGAGGGATCCAGGTGGGATGCAGGCGGTGGGATCCAAGTGGGATGAGGCGCAGGGGGGATGCAGGTGGGATGAGGCACAGGTGGGATGCAGGCGGTGGGATCCAGGTGGGATAAGGCACAGGGGGGATAAGGCACAGGAGGGACCCAGGTGGGATAAGGCACAGGAGGGATCCAGGTGGGATAAGGCACAGGAGGGATCCAGATGGGATAAGGCACAGGAGGGACCCAGGTGGGATGAGGCACAGGTGGGATAAGGCACAGGTGGGATGCAGGCGGTGGGATCCAGGTGGGATAAGGTACAGGAGGGATCCAGGTGGGATGATGTACAGGGGGGGATGATGCACAGGGGGGGATGAGGCACAGGGGGGGATGAGGCACAGGGGGGGATGAGGCGCAAGAGGGATCCAGGTGGGATAAGGCACAGGGGGGATGAAGCACATGGGGGATGCAGGCAGTGGGATCCAGGTGGGATGATGCACAGGGGGATGAGGCACAGGGAGGACACAGGCCATGGCCGTGCCTTGCAGTGCGGGCGCTGGAGAAGGCCAGGTCGAGCGCCCAGCTCCAAGGCAGTTACCCCTCGACGGACGGCAGCAGCCTCTACACCAACGCCAAGGGCAGCACCATCTCCGCCTTCGACGGCGGCTCCGATTCCAGCTCGGACTCGGAGCCCGAGGAGCCCCAGAACAGGAAGAAGCTGCGCATGGAGGCCAGCTAGGCCCCCCCCCGGCCCCCCCAGCCGTGCCAGGACTCTTCCCTTCCTCTCCTAGAGGCTCTTGGACTGCAGCTTCCCAAAGCCCATCCCGGCCCTTTCCCCGCTCCAACCCCAAGGGGGGAGCCGGCCAGGCAGGGCCCCGATAGACTTGGAAGGGGGGGGCTTCAAGGAGACGTCCCCATTGCCCCCCCCAAGCAACCAGCGAGCCCCTCACCCTAATCCTTCCTCTTTTATATGAGCGTTTCTATTTATACCCGGGGACCAGAGCAGGCCTGAGCTGAGCTGAAGGGGGAGGCTCTGCAGCCCCCCCACTCTGTGTATGTGTGTGTGCCCCCCAAAAAGCCAGGCCCCACACAGGGGAGCTGCTCCTGCCCCCCCCCCCCCAATCCGGCAAGCACTGGAAGGAAATGGGGGGGGGGGGGTCCTTGCTATTTATTCTCTATGTGTGCAATTCCAACTGCCCCCAATGGCTGTGGGAGCTTTGGGGGGGCACACACACACACACAACGCCTGCACCCCCTCTTCCCACAGCACAGAGCCAGGCTGGGTGCTCTCTGTGTGCATCCTGTGTCCCCCCCCCCTTTGTCACCTTCCCCATCCTCACCTCTATGGCATTCTCTGATCTCTAGCATCCCCCCCCCCTCCGCCCCATAGGTCCCCCCCATTCCCATTCCCATTTTGATGCCAATTCATTCCATGGATCTAAGGTATGTTGTACATACTGCCCACAGTTGTCTTGCAAGTTGAGGCTTCCCCTTTACTATAAGACTCTAAAGAATAAAATGGGACATAGAAAAGCAGCCTTATTTTCACTTCCCAACATTCCCAGAGCAGGACACTGGGATTGGAGCCCAAGCATCACCTCCCCAGCCCCATAAGCACGGCACGGAGAGGGGCAGCAGCTCTGCCCCACTGCACACACACACACTGGGGGGGGGTAGGGGTGCAGCTCATCCTTTTTGGGGCTTTATTCATTCCAAAGAGCTCTCCCATTGGGAATGGTGGCAGGAGCTGGTGGCCACGGGAGCACGGTTTTGGTATTGCTAGCACCCTGAGGACCTCTCTCTGCACCAAAGCACCCGGGGTGCTGCTGCACATGGAAGGGGGGGGTGTATGGGGCAGGGTGTTGGGGTGCAGCAGGGGTACCCCAATCCCCTCAGCTTGCAGGCTCCAGGCTGGGCACGGGCTGCTGCAGGAAGTGCATCACCGCCTGCACCACCTTGTCCGGGGCGATGTTGTACACGGGGTGCGTGGCCTGCTGCGGGCAAGCAAGAGGAGAAAGGGGGCTCGGAGCCTGCTTGTGGGGCTGGGGAGGACCCCCCCATCCCATCACCACCGTGGGGTTCAGCACCTACCAAGCGGTTCTCAGGGGCCCCCAGGATCACTTCATGGTGGAGGTCGCCGCTGCCGAAGTGCTGCGCTATGGCCAGGCCGCTCAGGCAGTAGCAGGTGTGGTAGAAATCCCGGGATCTGGTGATGGGAAAGGGGAGGGTGGGATGTGGAGGGAGGGGTCCAGTGCCCCCCCACTCCATCCCCGGCCCCATAAGCATGGGACTCACTTGCCAGGCTTGTCCAGCAGCCCCCCGGCCGGGCATTGGCAGCACAGGAGGATGTATTCCTGCAGTGCCGACTGGTCGAACATCCAATGGGTCATGCTCAGGGCTGGGTCCCCTGGAAGGGATGGGAAGGTGCTGAAATCCATGGACAAAAAAAGGGGAAGGGGGTGCAGGAATGTGGGAACTGCCCCTTTTGCAGGGCTCCCCTCCACACCCCCAAAGCCTCAAGAGCATCCCGGATGCAGCAGCTCCCACTGGGAACAGGGACACAAAATCACTGCGCTTCACTCCCTTCCCACACCACCTACATGGGGATGCTGTTTTGGGGGGGCAGAGGAAGGCAGGACCCCCCCATCTCCAAAAGCCAACTCACCCTTGGCGTGGAGGGCTCGGTGCAGCAGGGGCAGGAGCCCCGCTTGCCAGAAGGAATAGCATCCATCCACCAGCTTGTTGCAGCGGCCTTGGAAGCCGCCCTCGAAGCGCATCTGCCGGCTGGTCACCCAGTGCTGGGCAGCACAGAGCAGGATGAGGCCATGGCAGGGATGGGGGGGTCCGAACCCCCCTTGTGTCCCAGTGAGGAAGGGGCTTGGGGTGCTCACCAGTAAGCTGCGCAGGTTCAGGAGATGCTCCTGCTTGAGGATGACCAAGGCTGCCACGCCACAGAAGGTGTAACCACCGTGGGCTTCCATCCCTGGTACGCCACCGATGCCGCCCTCCCAGTTCTGGCACCTGCATAGGGAGAGAGGGATGGGATGGGGCATGAGGACATCCCAGCATCAGGATGTGGAGCTGCTGGAGCAGGGGCAGAGGAGGGCATGGGGGTGCTGCAATGGAGCAGCTCTGCTCTGGAGCCAGGATGGGAGAGCTGGGGAAGAGAAGGCTCCTGAAGGGGAGACCTGAGAGCAGCTCCAGTGCCTAAAGGGGCTGCAGGGAACCTGGAGAGGGGCTTGGGACAAGGGCCTGTAGGGCCAGGCCAAGGGGAATGGCTTGAACCTGCCCGAGGGGAGACTGAGCTGAGCTCTTAGGCAGAAGCTCTTCCCTGTGAGGGTGCTGAGGCGCTGGCACAGGGTGCCCAGAGAAGCTGTGGCTGCCCCATCCCTGGCAGTGCTCAAGGACACAGGGGCTTGGAGCAAGCTGCTCCAGTGGAAGGGGTTGGGGTTGGATGGGCTTCAGGCTCCGTGCATCCCATCCCATGTCCTGCCCCATCCCCACCTCTCACCTCGCAATCCACTCGGCCGTGCCAGCGAAGAGCGCGGGGCTCAGGATGTTGGTGAGGGAGGCCACGGATGCGGCGCAGTAGGCGCTCCTGTGGGATGCAGTGGGATGGAGCGGGATGGAACGGGATGCGGGATGCAGGATGCAGTGGGATGGAGCGGGATGCAGTGGGATGGAGCGGGTCAGCAAGGGCGAGCCCAGCGCCGCACTGGTACCCAGAGCATCCCCATTCACCCACCTGACATCCACCTCGCCCCCGACGTGCATGAGGAAGGAGCCATCGGGCTGCTTCAGCGAGTGCAGGTACTGCAGCAGCTTCTGCCTGCGGAGCCATGGGGCTGCAGGGGGGGGCACACACACACATCCTGTGCCCCCCCCGTACCCCAGCACCGTCCCTACCTGTCAATGACCCCGAAGGCCTCCTCCGTGCCGATGATGCAGAGCGCATTGACCGCAGCGTAGGTGGGGGCGAGGTGGGGGTGCTGGCCTGGACCCCCCCCAAAACCCCCTTGGGGGCTCTGGCAGCGGCTCAGGAACTGGCAGACACTAAAGGAAGGGTGGCAGTGACCCATTGAGGCGATGGGGACACCCCAATGCACACAGGGGTTCCCATCCCGTTCCCCCCCCCCATAAGGTCAAGGCTGGGGTTATCTCATCCCTGTCCAACCCCATCACGAGGCGCTCCAGCAAGAAAGGCCCCATTGATGGTGCCAAAGGGAGGAACAAAGCTCCCTTAGTGTGGGGGCAGCAGGAGTTGGCACCTCCAGCATCACATGGGGAGCAGGCAGGATGCGGGGTGAGGGTCCCCATAGGGTGGGATATGGGGGGGGGTTATTGGGGTGCTGCTGGTGCTTACTCAGAGGCAACCGAGTGGGGAATGGGCTCCTCCAGCAGCTCCAGGCTGTGCAGGATCCAGTAGCAGAGCCAAGGGCGGCTGGCATCCAGGCACTGCGGGATAACGGGGGGACCATGGAGGATATGGGGGTGCAGGGAGCATCCTGCTCCACGCCACCCCTCTTCTTATGGGGTTTAAATGGGGGCCGCAGGGATGCTCAGGAGCTGGAGCAGCTCCTTCATCCCGGATCAGAGCCATGGGACAAAGGGGTGATGGATCCCGACTGGAACAATGGGGTTCACACTGGGTGTAAGGATGGGATCCTCCCCTATGGGGTGCTGAGCACAGAGCAGCCGCGGCTGCCCCATCCCTGCGGATCAAGGCCGGGTTGGATGGGGCTTGGAGCACCCTGCTCTAATGGGAGGTGTTGGTGTTGGAATGGGATCCCAGGCCCCTTCATCCCAATGGACCAGCACCCCCAGTACCTCATAGGCTTCCGTGAGCTGGCGCAGGCCCCTCTTCAGGTAATGGAAGTGCTTCTCCCGCTGCAGGATGAACCTGGAAGGGAGGCAGGGACAGGGAACCGATCCCAGCGCATCCCAGCTTCCCGACCGCATCCCTGCGGGCCCGGCTCCCATGGGAACTCACTGCGGGATGCGGTGGTTCCCCTTGTAGGCATCGAACACCTCCTGCACGATGTCCTCCACCCTGCTCTGCAGCCACCATGGAGGGGAAGCAAAGCCAGTGTGAGGGCTGGGAAGCTCCTGCCCCATTCCCAGTGGGAACAGTGGGAGAAGCCGCTCGATCCCATTGTGCCCTATGGGATGCTCAGCAGGAAGGAGCCAAGGGGCAGCCCTGAGCTGGGAATCGCCCCCTATGGGGCTGCTCCCCCAAGGCTGAAGGATGGAGCTGGGCGCATCCCTATGGAAAAGCCGGGATCTGGAGCCCAGTTCAGCGCCCGGCACCGGGGCTGCCCCAACCCAGTATAATCCCTATGGAAAACACCAGGCAGCACCGGAACCACCGCACCCCAGCCATGGGCACCGAGCGCTGCTGGGATGAGCGGGAATGCTGCAGGGATTGGGAAACACAGCGCTGCCTCCTGCACCACTGGGACCCATCCCAGTGCCGGGGCTGGATCAGATCCACATGGGGCAGAGGGGAGCCCACCCCAAGATGGGAATGGGGGTGCCCCCGCTGCTGTCACAGGGAGGAAGTGGGGCAGGGATCACCCAGCCCCATGGCATCCCATAGCCTGGCCCCATAGCACCCTCAGGGCAAGCTTCATAGCACCCATAGCCCGGCCCCACAGCAGCCAGCCCCAGGGCAGCCCCAAAGCCAGCCCCATAGCACCCATAGCCCGGCCCCACAGCAGCCACCCCTAGGGCAGCCCCAAAGCACCCATAGCCCTGCCCCATAGCACCCTCAAAGCCAGCCCCAGGGCACCATGACCCTATAGCACCCCATAGCCCTGCCCCACAGCACCCTCAGGGCAAGCTTCATAGCACCCTATAGCCCGGCCCCACAGCAGCCAGCCCCAGGGCAGCCCCAAAGCCAGCCCCATAGCACCCCATAGCCCAGCCCCAGGGCACCATGACCCCATAGCACCCCATAGCCCAGCCCCACAGCACGCTCAGATCCAGCCCCACCAGCCCAGCCTTACAGCACCCTCAGGGCCAGCCCCAT